TAGCTTTCTGCCAGCAAGATTGCAGGATCTTCCTCACTTTCCTCCTTTCCCTTTTGCCCCCTTTTCCTTCCACATGGGCTAGGTCATCTTGCAACCCCAAGAATTACTTTTTGTGGAGTCAGAAAGGACTGTGGAGGGCAGGGTATCCACAATCCTTGTGTCTGGATCACTGGAACCAATCCTTTGACATTGAGAGTATTAACATCTTTCCAGGAACCATCTGGAACTCACTATGAATTCCTCTAGGCTGAAGCTTCTACCTGTTATAATAGTTTAATTGGCAATTAAGTTGCTACCCAATAAGAGTATGCACACGAATATGAATGCTGAATAAATATTTGGTGTTTTTAACCTGTCTTGGGATATACAGTCAGTTTTATTGGGGTTAATTATCATTCAATAAACTCTTGTCACAGCGTGATACTCTTTCATGAAGAAAGCTGCAATTCCAATCACTTGTTTGTGATCATAGTTGCACATAAATAGGTGACAAGGTGACATTCTTGTTGGTACTGAGGCTTAGAACTAAAATAAAACATCCAGCTGACTCTTGGGCACTTGCAAATCCTGTCTGTTTTCTGTTAATTAGCTATTGAATAGGGTTAGGTTAATTTTTATGATTACTAAAGTATTTACTTCACATATTTACCCTCTGATCAGCTTAACATACAAATCTCTGGGGCATGTTTCCTGAAATGTGAATTCAATTATCACTGAGAAGGTTGACAATTAGGTAGTTAAATTATTGCCAAAAAAAAAAAGCAAGGCAAACTGATATCTCACTCCTATAGATAAATGTAGCTGCAGTAATGCAAAGAGCTGCTTGTATCTAGGATTTCAGACGTGTTTGGACTTCAAGGTATTAGCATCATATTTTTTAGGTGCAAGCATTGTTGCAGCAGATAGGAACAATTTTGGACTGCACAGTGCAGTCCTAAGCAAAATTACACCCTCTTGAGCTCATTGACTTTAGTAGACTTTAGAAGGCTTGTAGCTCTGTTTAGGATAGCGCTGCCAGTCATGAGTGTCTACAGGGGGGAATCCTAAATTTATTGATTTTTTTTTTTTTAAATGTACTGTGACGTACCTATTTTCAACTAGTCAGCAAGAGCTCTGTAGTAACACTGCCTTGCCCCCCTCCCCCCATTATTTCTGTGGATTCCCTGTAAGACAGAAGTCCGGTGACACCTTAAAGACCTTAAGCACCTTAAAGTGCTTATTCTGGCAGGAGTTGTTTCATGCTCTGCTGGTCCAGCATCCAGCTTTTTTGCTGTGCATTTCAATGCCTGTGCTTAAGTGCTTGAACGACCACGTCTGGAATTATTCTACAGCTATTCTTGACTCAGCATAGTTATAGCCACATGGCTTCCAAATCTGTTTCTTTGCCGCACAAGCACGTGTGTACACTGCTGTACGACACAACTGTCAGTGTGTTGTACTACTGTGAAAGCAGCTGTATGTTAAGGCTTGTTAGTTTTTCAGTGCTTTACTATTGAATGCATGAACATTTCCATTCACTGTAAAATCATGACAGTTTGTCACATTACTCTGGAGTCTGGCAGAGAGAAGCTGCCTAATGAGTGGTGTAGTTTGGATGACATTTCAGAAAAATCTGATTAGAAAATGGCTGAGTTACAAAAGTTTTTTTTATTGTCTTGCATTTGGAAGGTCATATTTTGGTGCTGATTTTTGGTTTTAAATTGGCATGTCCAAAATATATCTTCTATCTCACTTTTTTCCTCCTATTCGTCAAAAATGTCAAAATTTTGTAGGGAATCTTACCTTAATTTTTTGGGAGAAAAATTGTTGTGGCATTAAGTATTGTGTGTGTGAAGTGCCGTCAAGTCACAGCTGACTTATGGTGACCAGTGTTCCCTCTAAGCTGAGTTAGTGTGAGCTAACTCACAGTTTTTTAGCCTCTGACTCACACATTTTTGTCTTAGCTCAGGAAGGATGGCTCCAGAGCAAACTAATTTATGCCATAGCCAAATTGCTCACTCACAAATTTAATGCCAGTAGCTCACAATGTAGGATTTTTGCTCACAAGACTCCACAGCTTAGAGGGAGTATTGATGGTGACCCCAGCTAGGGGCTTTCAGGGCAAGTGATTAAGCAGAGATGGGGTTGCCATTGCCTTCCTCTGCAAAGTTGTCCTTGGTGGTCTGTCATCCAAGCACCAACCCAGCTCAGCTTCCACGATCTGACAAGATCGGGCCATACTATACCATTTTACATCCCGGAATTGAGCACTACAGGATTTTAAAATTCCCATGTAAAATGTTTATTGAAATAAAGGCAAATGCTTATGTTGTCAGGAGGTTATGGTTTTCTATAAAATATTTTTAATGTGTTTCAGCATACAAGTAGTTAGCTTCAAAGGGCTTTTTATCACTATTTTTTATTCTGAGCAAGAGAGATATTCTCCTGTTGTACTTTCTATGAAAAAAGTAAAGATTTTAAAAATGAAGCTCTGCCACCCTCATGACATAGAGATCTAATGTAATTCAGCGATTTCTCTTTTCAAAAAATCAAGAAAATTAGGGAAGAGTTAAAGCATTTTGCAAATTCATCTTAATTTCCATGCTAGGGGAGCTGTGCTGTGTTTGCTTACAATTTAGCTGTGATTCAACTACACTTCCCTTTGACCATCCTCCCACCCAAACTGCCTTTGATGCATCCCTCTAGATGGTCATTATACATCATTAATTTTGAAATGTAACCAAATTCTATTGAAAGGTCTTATAAAGCACTGGTGGACCTCATGTTCTGTTCTGCATTACTAGCTTGCAGAGTAAGAGTCCTTCATCCAGTCCTATGTACTGATTTGCAGTACTGTGGCTTAAAGATTAGCCTGCTGTTCTTGTGCGCAGTTATCATTTTGCCCTTTCATTTAACAGAGAGGAGAATAAGCATCTCTAATCAGCTCAGAACCAAGCCCCAATAAGAACATAAGAGCAGCTCTCCCAGATCAGTCCAATGGCCCATCTAGTCCAGCAGCTTGTTTCTCAGAGTGGTCAGCCAGTTGCCTTAGAGGACCAACTAACAGGTCACAGAATTCAAGGCATTCCCCTGATGTTGCTTCTTAGCATCAATACTGAGAGTTTTCCTACCTCTTGATGTGGAAATTCCCCATGGTTATCATCACTAGTGTAGCTATTGATGCACACAGATCTGTCTGGTCTCCATTTAATACAGTCTCTGCTTCTGGACATCACTGTGTCCACCTTCCCTTTCTCTCCCCACAGCAGACACCTTGTGAGGTAGGTAGGGCTGAGAGGTTTCTGAGAGAACTGGAGCTGGGGTCACCCAGCAGCCTTCCTGTGGAGTACAGGGGAATCAAACCCAGTTCTCCAGATTAGAAACCACCGCTCTTATGTCCTTGTTTTCTCCCTTACTGAATGGTTGCTACCCCCCTGATGTATATATTCGTGTGTACTTTCATGTTAAAGAATAAAAACAATTTTAAAAAAAGAAAAAAGAAAAAAGAAACCACCGCTCTTAACCACTAAGGCAAGGCAAACCATCATAAGAACATAAGAGCAGCTCTCCCAGATCAGTCCAATGGCCCATCTAGTCCAGCAGCTTGTTTCTCAAAGTGGTCAGCCAGTTGCCTTAGAGGACCAACTAACAGGTCACAGAATTCAAGGCATTCCCCTGATGTTGCTTCTTAGCATCAATACTGAGAGTTTTCCTACCTCTTGATGTGGAAATTCCCCATGGTTATCATCACTAGTGTAGCTATTGATGCACACAGATCTGTCTGGTCTCCATTTAATACAGTCTCTGCTTCTGGACATCACTGTGTCCACCTTCCCTTTCTCTCCCCACAGCAGACACCTTGTGAGGTAGGTAGGGCTGAGAGGTTTCTGAGAGAACTGGAGCTGGGGTCACCCAGCAGCCTTCCTGTGGAGAACAGGGGAATCAAACCCAGTTCTCCAGATTAGAAACCACCGCTCTTAACCACTAAGGCAAGGCAAACCATCTCTGCTTTTCATTTGCCTCCAAAGCCCCTTGCTGGGGTCCCCTTAAATCAGCTGTGACTTGATGGCACTTAACACACATACAATTGGGTACACTGTGTATTTAAGTGCAGCAAGGGCATACAATCAATAGTCATACTATGTAAACATGCATGCTTCTTAACGATGCAAAAACAGGCAAGTGAATAGGTACATGATGTGCTGCCTGATCCTGTGCATTTTTATTTAAATGTAAGACCTATTGAATTAATAGGCCTAATTTCTAAGAAAGCATGCTTTGGACTATGGTTTTAGCTGGAAGTTTGGGGGAAGGGTGAACCATTCAGTGACAGGCCAGACACTGGTTGATCCTGATGCCTTAAAAGATCTTGCTAAATGAAAGTTACAGTGAGTAAACAATCAACTGCTATGGCCTGCTAGGGTTTGGCTCACTCAGCAGTTGTAGCCCAGTTACAGAAGTATGTAATCTACTAGATGACACAATAAAATAAGGTTAATTCAGTACACCAAGGAGGTTCCAATTGTTCTTAAATTTTTTATTAAAGCTATAATAATATTTCACAGGTAAAGGTTCTTCTTGGAAAGCACAGGGTATAATTAACTGTTAATATTCTGTCTGTGTGATATAAAGCAGGATAATTCAGACTGGTGGGAAGGGGAAGAGAATAATAAAGGAATAATTAACTTATAAAAACCCCTGGATCTCAATAAGACTGCTGCAACATTCCCATATTGTGTTAAAGTGATACATTTTCTTGAAGTGAAATGGGCAGTTAGCCAAATATTTACCATTGTTTTCTCCTGGACCTTGTTTTTTGGAAGGTGACTGCAGTCAGTTTTGAACATTTGAGTTGCAAGTAAAAACAAACATGGTTGCATTTTTCTTGACAGTTTTTGTCTGAATATCCTGGAAGGATATAGAAACGAAGACAGTGGAGAGCAGATGAGATCAAAGCAGTGACTGAGGTGGCTCCAGCAACTTTTACAACTACCAAGGACTACTGCCAGATTGCTGTGGAGATGAATGGAGAACAGCAGCAGGAGACAGGTATTGCAGTTATGGAACCCTGGGGTTCAACAAGTATCTTCTCTGCTGTTAATACATTCTGGACAAGTGAATTTGGCATAAATAAATCACTGGTAAAATGTAGGCAAGGTAAAATGCACTACGTATACAGGCAGGACTATGGTGTTCCTCTTCATGTATGTTCATCCCATATGGGTGCTTACATTACATGTAAACTCAATGTGCATACAACCTCAAAAAACAGAAACAAACCCCAAAAACAAAAAACCCCGCTACCATTAGGTAGCAGTGACTCTGAACAATTTCCCACCGTTCCCTGTCCTTTCTCCTCTAGCCTAGGTTTAGACCAACTAGTAAGTTGGCTATATAATATTGTGAAGGCAAGAATGCCACGGTATAGATTGCTTGCCACACTGCCATTAGATACTGGCCTCTTTTAATAGTATTTTAATAATTATTACTTTGGTTCATTTCTGTTGTGTTTTTTTTTTTTTTTAAATTTTGTAACTCTAGGCTGACCTTGGTATTTCAGGATAAGAGCCAAAGACAAGATCCAGTCAGTAAAGTGTTCACATGTAAACCTTACACTGACCTGATCTCAGAGGATGATGTCGGATCCTTAAAGGATGAATAGGACAGAAAAGCAGACTATGCACTGCGGTAGTACCATGAGGCCACTGCAGTTATCATCAGGCCAGCAGCTAATTCTGCCTTCATCTCTAGAGCTTCAGGGCCTATTGTGTGGGCCCTGAAGCTGGTCCAGCTCACTCCCAGCGACAACCAAAGGGAAATAGAGGGCACCAACTGCATTCTCAAGGTGATCACCTTCCCACCAGACGCCTGCCTCCACACAGTGACCTTAGCATCCAGCTCCATGGTGGCTGCTCTATGGCCAGGTGTGCTCTGTGGCTTTGCACTTGTCAAACAGAGCCCATAGTACTAGGCTACCCACTCTAGGGTGGAAGGCTGTTCGGGGAATGTCTTGACAAGATTCTGGTGGAAACTAGAAATGATAGGAGGGCCATGCCCAAGAGTCCACAGAGAGACAATAGGAAATCCTTTCCATCTAATTCCTTTGGTTCCCATCACATCTTGTTTTGAATTAGACCAGATCAAAGGAGGGCCCAGTGGTCAAGCACCTGAAGCCCCTTTTAAAAGGCCCCCATGTCAATAGATCATCCCAGCTTCAGTCGTACAGCCTGATTGGCTGGCCAAGCAAGGAAACCATGATGCCAGAGACATTCCTTAGAGTGGCTGGCTTCAGAAATTCCATCCCAGTGGCTTCAGCCTCAGCCACACCACTGGGTTCTACAAGCCGTCCAGTCCCACCGGCTAAGAGGGCAAAAAACAAACCCAAAGACAAGGAGATATGCAATGCTGCTTCTAATCAGCAGGTCCCTATCCACACTCCTAAGCCTACCTGAACTCTCCAGGAAAAAACTAAAACTCCATCTCCTGGGCTGAGATTCCCTCCTGTTTCCATCTTGGATGGGATGGTGGAATTGGATCTACCTGTGGCTCAAGCTCCACATGATTCCGAACTAGAGCAGATGGCAACAGTTCCATAGCTACAACCTCAGCCACCTGTGTAATGGCCATCACATCCATACATGATGTCCCTGAGCTATTTGGAAGAGTGGAGCGACCATTTCAGTTGGCCCAGGGATACGAATGTCTGCCCTTATCCTCATTGGGCCAGTTTGGTGTAGTGGTTAACTGTGCAGACTCTAATCTGGGAGAACTGGGTTTGAATCCCCACTCCTCCAATTACAGCTGCTGGATGACCTTGACCAAGCCATAGTTCTGTCAGAGCTGTTCTCTCTATGCTCTCTCAGCCCCACCTACCTCACAGGGTGTTTGTTGTGGGGAGGGGAAGGGAAATGAGTTTGTAAGCCGCTCTGAGACTCCAAGTGAAGGGCAGGGTATAAATCCAATCTCCTCTCCCCCTCTTCATATCTGCCATCGGTAACAGTTTCATGCAGGCCTTGTTCCCCTATACCAACAATGAGGTGAGAGGTGCTGTCCTTGAGTCAGATGGATCTGACATGACTTTGGGTCCGAGTCCGAATGAGAGAGTAAGAGAGCCTTCTCTGGCCTCCCACATGGAAAATCTCTGCATGTATAGAGAACAAATGATCCGTATAGCACAATCATTGGAGATGGAAGTCATGACTTCAGAATGCAAGCTGAAAGACAAGATTTTAAGCTGACTCTATTCAGACTCCCCTGGCATTATTGCCTTTCCAGTATTGGAAGGTCTAGAAGATATTATGCAGGAATTGTGGCAAACGCTCACATCACTTCAACACACATCCAGAAGCAGTGGAATATTTCTACAAGATCAAGAAGGAGTAATTTAATTACCTAACAACTCATCCTCCACCATCGTCATTAATTACAGAGGAAATGCAACCTAGAGGCCGTCAGTCTTACCACTCTACCCCAGCAGACAAAGAAGGTCAGAAGCTGGATGTCCTAGGATGAAAACGATATTCTTCTTCCACATTGTTTTTCAAAATCTTCAACTAGGAGACTATCATGGCTGGCTACCAGCTCTTTCTGTGGTAGAGAATCTTACTGTTCCTGGAGCTTCTGCCTGAGGACAAGTGGCCCCTGGTTAAGGCTCTACAAGCTGAGGCCATTAAACACTCAAAGCAACAAATTTATGCTGATCAACATTCTGCAGACTCCGCAACGTGAGCCATGGCGAATTCCGTTGTCCTTAGATGTCACATTTGGTTGAGTTCATGTATGCTACCTATAGAAACCAAGCAGAAGATTTAAGATTTACCCTTCAAGGGTGCCAGTCTTTTTTCCACCAGGATTGATGAAACATTGTCCTTGATGAAGAAAAACAGACAGCCAAATCATTGGAGGTGTCTCAACCTGATTCTTCCCAGTTCAAGCAAAACCCCTTTGTCCGGTAGGCAGCCCTGGCATCCTTACAAGAGGGAGTTCCGCTGCGCTAATCTCCTACTTCAAAGCCCTTCACTCACTAGCAGGGGTATCATAAACTCAATGGTTCCAACTGACCCAAGTTGACACATCAACCACCCCCTCTGAGAGAGGTGGTCTCATCACAGAAACCCGCTTTCTGACTAGAACTCCAGTCAACTTTGGGGACAGGCTAGTCCAGTTTTATTCCGCCTGGGAAGATATCACCTCCAATGAGTGGGTTTTAGCTCTAGTTAGATTACGTGATAGGTTTGAGTTTAGTTCTATCCTTCCATGTTCCTTATCTTCAAGCGTATCCAACCAGGGTTTCTTTAAGATAAAATAGTAAAGCTCTTCTGATATCTAAAGAGTGTAATAATTGCTCACTTTCAGAGCTTGGTGTAGGAAAAAAGACAGGTAAAATAATATCTTGGGATAGGTGAAATCTATAGACTACTTTAGGAAGAAACCTAAGACTAGGTCGAAGAATTACTCTCTCAGGAAAAATCTTTAAAGATAAAGGATCCACCTGAAGAGCTGCTAACTCACTCTTCTGGCTTATGTGACAGCTAAGAAACATACTTTCATGGAGAGCTCAGCCAAGGAGCATATGGCAAGCAGTTCAAAAGGCTTGCACATCAACTGTGTTAGTGTTAAAACAAGTGAAAGCAACCACTGGGGAACTAAAGGGTCCCGAGACTGCATAATCCTTTGAGAAATCTTTTGGAAAGGAAATGGGAGAAAACTGCTCTTTTTATCTTAAAGAAACCCTGGAGTTCCGCAGGGATAGAGCACTGTTTGTATGTTTTGCTGGACCCAATAAAGGGAGGAAGGCTTCCTCTCAGACTTTGTCCAGGTAGATTGTATCAGCCATTAGAGAGTGTTATGGCTTGGCTAGGTTTCTCTGCCCGTTAAACATTTATGCCCACTCTATGAGAGCTGTAGCTTCTTCCACAGTGTTCTTCAGTGGCGTGCCTTTAACAGCGATTTGCTGGGCTGCTACATGGTCATCAGTGGACACGTTCATACACCACTATGAGTTTGATCTGCAGGCAAGATGAAGCTGAAGTTAGGAAGACTGTACTACATTCGCTGTTCAAATGAGAACATGCCCCACCACCTGGTGAGTAGCTTGCTAGAATACCCATGTGGGACTGCACAGAAGAATGATGATGAAAACTGGGTTGCACTTACCTGTAACTGTTGTTCATTGAGTGTCTTCTGTGCAGGCACACATACCCTCCCTCCTGCCCTGCTGCATGCTCTGACTTTGGTGGCTCTAGAGGTACTGAGGCTGAGGGGGCACTGCTGCACAGGAGCATGTGGTCCCTGGGAGCGAAAAAGTTTTTGCTCCGGCACACAGCACCCCCTGGAGGCCTTTAGCCATAACACCTCTCCAATGGCAGGCCTGCTCATGCATAGTCCCCATGTGTGCCTGCACAGAAGACACTCAGTGAACAACAGTTACAGGTAAGTTAACCCTATTTTCCTTCTTGCGAGCATTACTTAGCATTAATCATGCCTGCTTACTATTCCCATCCTTCTAGGACATCACAGATTTCTCCAGTTTGCCTCCAATTCAGGGTTCTTCCCCCTGGTCTAGCATTGGCTCCTTGGGTCTTATCCAAGGTCCTCGTAGCTCTAATGGCCCTGATCCACCAGCAAAGAAACTAAATCCATCTGTATCTGACGACATCCTGATCTGTTCTCCCACTTGGTAGCTAACGATCAGGGACACCCTCAAAATCTTCTGGAAACCCATGGCTTCATTTTAAAGAAGAAAAAGAACAGTCTTATCCCATCGCAGGGGCTACAACACTTTGGCGTGAGCATAGGCAAGTGCCAGGATATGCCGTGGGGGCCCCCCCCCCCCCGACAGAAAAGGTCTCTAGGATTTTGAGCTTGGCTGAAAGATTTGGTCAAAGCCAAGACTACCTGTCTGATGTCCTTGGCATGCCTTCAGGGACTAATAACCTCTTGTATAAGGACAATTCCATGGGCCTGAGTACCTGCCAGACACACTTCAGAGGTTCTTCTAGAGATCCTTCAGAGGAGCAATGTAACTCCAAATTTAAAATGGTCTTTGA